CTCCCCCTGAGCAAGATTCCACTGTGATGGAACAGATAAGATAATCACCAGAACTCAGGCATAGCCACACAAAGGAGAACTAGAAGTGCCTGGGTATAGTTCTAAATGTTGGCTATAGACAGCTCTGACGGAGAGAAATGTTGTTTGCCAAGGAAGTCTCCCAGAAGAGAGTTTTGAAGGAATAGCACAGGGCTAGCCTGAAGGAAAGCAGAATTTTCTGTACCAAAGAAATGTGTAAGACTCAGGTCAATTTAACACGGATTTATTTAATGCCCCTTATGTGCCTGTCCCCCAGCTGGATGCTCTGGGAGAGTTAACAAGATACACTCTTCACCTATGATGTATAATCAGGAAAACAACAATAACAACAACAAGACAGATAACTGTGGTCTTGTTTTTTATTTCATTTTACTGAGGTATAACTGACATATAAAATTGTAAGATATTTGAAGTGTATATTGTGGTGATTTGATAAACATATGCATTCCAAAATGATTCATTCTGATTTCTCCAATGTAAAAGGATAAACAATGGTATTTTAATCTAAGCATTTCATTAAATGAAGGTAAGTGATCAAAGGTCACCTTTGTTTCCTTCCCTTTATCTTTACCTGTGGGGAGCTTCCAGTGGAGCTTTGGTTTCCCAGGACTAGGAACATCAGCATCACCTGGGAACTTGTTAGAAGCTCAAGTTCTGGGCCGCACCCAGACTTCCTGAATTCCAAACACTGGGGATGGGAGCCCAGTAACCTGTGTTTTCATAAGCCCTTCAGGTGAGGTGACACCATCTGAAGGTTGAGCATCACCTAACAAAGAACTATTCCCGGCCTCTATGCACCCCTCCCTCTCTCACTTTGACTTTGATTAGTGGGTTGAAGAGATAAGACTGAACATTCCCAGTTCAGCCCCTTCCAGTTTTTGGTGATTTCTTTTCTTTTTTTTTCTTTTCTTTTCTTTTCTTTTCTTTTAAATCCAGAACCAACCTGCTCATAGGACACATGCAGTCCCACCTGTTCATACAGAAGAAAAGCTAATAAAAGCAGTTTCTTTCCTGTGTTGTGAGGCAGGAGGTGCTCAGCACTCCTTGTGATGAGGAAGAATTCTGTCTAATTTAGTGATGCGGGATTACCAAGCCAATTGTGCTGCAGATCTAAAGCTGAAGATGTAATCATCTGTCTCTATGTCATGATTATCAGTTGGTCCCAAACTACAGCTCCAGCAATGGGTTATAATGGAAAGTGGGAAGGGATGCTGTTTCATATCATGTGCACCAAAGAGACCTAGTTGAGAGAATAACAGGACAGAAGAACCAGAGGAAATCCTAGAATTTTTTAAGGAAACGGAACTTGAGAAATGATCAGTTGTGACCTCTCCTGTTACAGATAAATAAGCAGAGCATGGAAGGAACTGAGCAGCTTGCCCAAGGTCACATTGCTAGTTAGTGGTGGAAACAAGACCAGAACCCAAGAAACATAGATCTCAGCATGCACTTTTTGAACAGGTAGACCAAAGCAGTGCTCAGAGAAAAGCTGGCTCCAGTCCACCTGTGCATTCTCTGTTGCCCCCCCCCTCACACAGCCAATTCTCAAGCTACACAGCCTGCTCAGTGTGCTCTGAGCAATGCTTCCATTTCCTGTGCTTTTCCTGATGTTGATTTCTCTGCTTGCAATCTCTCCCTGCCACACATGTGTGGTGAAATCCTATCCCTGAAGAGATGCTATTCCTCTACAAAGTCTTCTCTGATTTCACTAATCAACACTCACCCCATGTCAGTCACAAATGATCACCCTCCACTCTGAGTTCCCAAGACATTTGATTTGTATATTCCTTGTGACAACACTTTCTACTTTGTGTTACAGCTATGCTTTACCCTCATATTAGAATATAAGCTTCTTACAGTCCACAAAACAAAGAGGCAACCCACAGAATGGGAGAAGATATTCGCAAATGACACTACAGACAAAGGACTGATATCCAAGATCTATAAAGAACTCCTCAAACTCAACACACAAAAAAACAGATAATCACATCAAAAAATGGGCAGAAGACACGAGCAGACACTTCTCCAAAGCAGACACACAAATGACTAACAGACACATGAATAAATGTTCATCACCACTAGCCATCAGGGAGATTCAGATCAAAACCACATTGAGATACCACCTTATACATCAGAATGGCCAAAATTAAAACAGTAAACAACAAGTGTTGGAGAGGATGTGGATAAAGGGGAACCCTCGTACACTATTGGTGGGAATGCAAGCTGGTGCAGCCACTTTGGAAAACAGTGTGGAGATTCCTTAAGAAACAAAAAATAGAGCTATCTTATGACCCTGCAATTGCACAACTGGGTATTTACCCCAAAGATACAGATGTAATGAAAAGAAGGGCCATCTGTACCCCAATGTTCATAGCAGCAATGGTCACAGTTGCCAAACTGTGGAAAGAACCAAGATGCCCTTCAAGAGAAAAATGGGTAAAGAAGATATGGTCCATATATACAATGGAATATTATGCCTCCATCAGAAAAGATGAATTCCCAACTTTTGTATCAACATGGATGGGACTGGAGGAGATTATGCTGAATGAAATAAGTCAATCAGAGAGAGTCAACTATCATATGGTTTCACTTACTTGTGGAGCATAAGGAATAACACAGAGGACATTGGGAGAAGGAGAGGAGAAATGAGTTGGAGGAATCAGAGGGGGAGAGAAAACATGAGAGACTATGGACAGTGAGAAACAAACTGAGGGTTTTGGAGGGGAGGAGGGTGGAGGGGTGAGTGATCCTGGTGGTATTAAGGAGGGCATGTATTGCATGGAGCACTGGGTGTGGTGCATAAACAATGAATCTTGGAACACTGAAAAAATAAAGTTTAACAAAATACTAAAAAAAAGAAGGAAACTTAAAAAAAAGAATATAAGCTTCTTTTTTTAAAAAAATATTTTATTTATTTATTTAACAGACAAAAATCACAAGTAGGCAGAGAGACAGGCAGAGAGAGAGGGGGAAACAGGCTCCCTGCTGAGCAGAGAACCCTATGCTGGGCTTGATCCCAAGACCCTGAGAACATGACCCGAGCCTAAGGCAGAGGCTTAACCCACTGAGCTACCCAGGTGCCCCAGAATATAAGCTTGTTAAGGGAAGGGCATTGTTTTATCTTTTTTTTTTTTAAGGAATTTATTAATTCATTTGAGAGGTAGAGTGAGAGAGAGCACAAGGCAGGGAGGGGCAGAAGGAGAGGGAGGAGCTTATGTCCCCCAGCAGGGATCCCGATGCAGGGCTGGATCCCAGGACCCTGAAATCATGACCTCTACCAAATGTACATGCTTAACCAACTGAGCCACCCAGGCTTCCCTTTATCTTTTTTAATTTTTTTCTGAAGTATAATGAACATATGGGGCTTTTATATTACTCTCAGGTGTACAATACAGTGACTCAACAATTCCACATATTTCTCAGTGTTCAAGATTAGTGTATTCTTAATTCCCTTTATTTAGATTACCCATTCCCCTACCCATCTCCTCTTTGGTAACCACCAGTTTGTTCCCTATATTTAAGAGTCTAGGGTGTTTTTGTTTTTCTTTTTGTTTCATTTTGTTACTTATTTTCTTGTTTGTTTTGACTTTTTTCTTTTTATTTTTTTAATTCTTAAATTCCACATAAAAGTGAAAACATATGGCATTTGTTTTTCCAGACCAACATATTTCAATTAACATTATACCCTCCCACTCCAGCCATGGTTTTACAAATGGCAAAATTCCATTCTTCTTTATAGATGAATAATCATCCATAGTATATACATATACACCACATATTCTTTACCATTCATCATAGGGGTGCATATATCTTTGCAAATTCATGTAACAAAAATGCTTTTGCACAGAAAAGGAAACCATCAATGACCCAAAAAAAAGCAACCTACAGAATGGGAGAAGACACCTGAAAATGATATATCAATAAGGGGCAAATATTCAAAATACATAAAGTACTTACACAACTCAATACAAGAAACCAAATAATCCAATTTAAAAATGGGCAGAGAACTGAATCGATACTTTTCCAAAGAAGACATAAAGATGGCCAACAGACACATGAAAAGGACAGATAAATAAAAAATACAAGAAAAACAAGTGTTGGTGAAGACATGGAGAAAAGGGAACTCTTATGCATTGTTGGTGGAAATGTCAATTGGTGCACACACTCTGTAACACATAATTCAGGTTCCTCAAAAATTTTAAAACAGAATTACCTTATGATCCAGTAGTTCTGCTACTGGATATCGTCACAAGTAAGTTCTACAATCAATGTGAAGCTTAAACTCACCAGCCTGAGATCAAGAGCCATGATCTACTGACTGAGCCAGCTAGGCAGCTTCTTCCCTAGTGTATATTTAACCAAAGGAAAGGAAAGCATTTTTCAAGTTTCTTTTAATACTAATTTTTAATATTTATTTATTTTTCTTTAAAAAATTATTTTAATTTAGTTTTATTTTTTTCAGTGTTCCATGGTTCATTGTTTATGCACCACACCCAGTCCTCCATGAAATACGTGCCCTCCTTTATACCACCACCAGACTCACCCAACCTCCCACCCAGCTCCCCTCCAAAACCCTCAGTTTGTTTCTCAGAGTCCACAGTCTCTCATGGTTCATCTCCCTCTATGATTTCCCCCAATTCACTTTTCCTTTCCTTTTCCTAATGTCCTCCACGTTATTCCTTATGCTCCTTTTTAAAGAGGCAGTAGGCTGTCATAGACACAGTTGAAAGTAGACAATTTTAAAAAAAGGAGAAAGAGCAAAGGCACATCCTTCACTTTACCATAAATAAGGTGAACATCAACACCCAAATCCCATGGGAGGCCTAGTTCTCCACGTGCAAACAGTACTCCCCATTATTGCGTAGGGGAACCAGATGGCATTCAGGCATGATAATGTCAAACCAAACATGTACTGACACTGCTGAGTTCAAGCTCTATAGAGCATGACCCCTTAAGTGGGGTTAAGAGACCAGGCTTTGCCAGATGCCATAGCTGAAATAGAGAGCAAACCCAATCAACATCCAGACACCAAATGTAGCCCAGGTGTCAGCTGTCATCTGCATCATAAGGAAAACATTCACAAAGATGCTCAGGAGTGGAAGGAGAGGCACACCAGGGACCTTAAAGGGCAGGGAAGTGGAGGTCTGTGGCTGTCTCCAGATGACCCCAGTAGTCCCAGTGATGAGCACAAGGAGCAGCATCACCACTGTGATCGGCACTGGGTCTCCAGAGAGCAGACCTGGCCAGTGGGCCAGCACCAGACAGAGGAGAGTCAGCAGCAGGGCAAGCAGTGAAGAGCAAACACAGACAATCTGGCCAGAGAGTGGAGTGGGGGTGGGGCTGCCTGGGAAAAATAGTCCCTGTAAACTCAGCTTCTCTGCTGCAGGTGCAGTCTCCTCCTGCATCTGCACTACATTTCCCCCATTCTGTTCCTGCACCTGTGCTTCAATTCCCCCATTCTCCTCCTGCACCTGTGCTTTATTTCCCCTATTCCTCCTCTCAGGCTGATACCTGAGGATGAGAACACAAAGAGCCACCAGGGAATAAGATATGAGGGTCCCAACTGACCTGAGGTCCAGAAGATCGGTGAGTCCAAAGAAGAATACCATGATTGCTGCGACAATGCCAAAGAACACAGTGGACATGATACGGGCATATGTGCCAGTACGGATCCTGGCAAGAAAAGGGAACAGGAGGCGATCCTTTGCCATCATGTATATCATCCTACGTATGGGGAACATAAATCCCCAATAGATGCCAACAAAAATACTACAATAAATTGCAAAAGCTACAACATAGTAGGCAGGGACCCAGCCAATATGGAGAAATGCCTCAGGCAAGGTGCTCCCAGGTCGAAGCTGGTAGTAAGGAACCATGAGTGTAAGTGCTGCAGAGACACCAAAATACAACAAAAAGCAGATGAGCAGTGAAACCACAATGCCCTTGGGGATAGAACACACTGGATTATGTGATTCTTTGACTCTGGTAACAATAACGCTGAAACCTATAAATGCATAGAAGCAGGTAGCTGATCCACGGAGAATTCCCTGGAAGCCAAAAGGCATGAATCCTCCAGAGCCCAGAGGGCCCAAGCTAGAGGTATCATTGAGTCTGGCCTTTATATAGTCCTCTTCTGTGAGCTTCCAGTTGTGCAGGTCCCCCTTAATGAAGCCAGAGATGATGACAAAACCAAGTACCAAAAGTTTCACCAGTGTAAACATTTTGAAAACTATGTAGTACTCATGATATCTCAGATTTTGAATTTCTGTGAGCAACAACAGAAGGACCACAGCAAAGTAGCCTAGATTGTCTGCAAAGACTTGGGGAACATGTTGTGAAATGCTTTCATGCTGGGTCTCAGAGATCCGGTTCCCAATCAGATTGTCAAAAGTTAATATCCAGGCCTGAACCACAATGAATGCATCAGCAACAAAGGAGAGGATGAGGTTCCAGCCTGTGATGAAGGCCCAGATTTCACCTATAGTGACATAGGTGTAGAGATATGCTGAGCCAGAATGAGGAATCCGGGCACTAAACTCTGCATAGCACAGTCCAGCCAACAATGAAGTTAAGCCAGCCACCAAAAAGCAGATCACAATGGATGGTCCTGCTTGATTACCGGCCACCTCATTAGCCAGGAAATATACACCTACACCCACTGTGCGGCCCACACCCAGGGCCACTAAATCCAGAGTGCTCAGTCTTTTGCCAAATTCAAACTCAACCACCTTTTGCTCTAGCGGACGTCTGCGTACCAGCTTTTGACCAAATCTGCGAAGTGCCTTACACAGCATTCTAGCAGGAATTGAGGAAGATTCTAAAGAACAGAGAGCTGTAGCAAGTCCAGGAAGCCAGGAGTGTTGGATCTGAATCAGTGAGGCTGAGTTAAGCCAAATTGGATAGGGGTTGCCACGGTCCTTTGCTCAGGCTTCAGAGCTGCTGCTTCATATTTCATCTGGCACATGTTATCCTTCCATAGTTCCTAGGGAAATAATAAATATTTGCTGAACAGTGATGTTCAACCAACCATCCAAAATTCTCATGTAACTTGTTGCAACCCAAGTATCACAGAAACTGACACCAAAAGACCTATAGGAAAATAAATCCTACTTTCCCACCAGAAAAAGTACCAAATACCTCCCAACAGTCTGTTTTTTTAATTATATTTTTCAGTAGGCTCCATGCCCAGCATGGAGCCCAAGATGTGGCCCAATATCACAACCCTGAGATCAAGATCTGGGCTGGTGTGAAGAGTTGGACTCTCAACTGACTGAGTCACCTAGACACCCCAACATTTTCTTTCTTTTTTTTTTTATTTACACACCACATGACATAATCCATTTGAGTTCATAAGTGATGTAGTTTCATGTACTAAATTAAGTGGTAAGACACAACAGGACATGATGGTATTTTGCAAGAATTCAAACGCAGGATGTGTGTGTGCAGCGCTTGAGTTATGACACATTAACTCATGAACTGGAGGCCTCCTTGCAATTACAGACCCATTTTTTATATATTGTCAGGGTTGAAAATACATATACTTGTCTCTCAGTCTTAAACTCTTAGACCCAGTATCTGCTGCCCAAGGTTTGATGTCACTTTGGCCCCCCTTCTTCTCATGCTGCATCATTCACTTAGCTATAGTGATGACAAAGAACATACCATTCACTACTTTCTTTTCCCACCTAGGCCTACAGGGGCACTGTGAACCCAGAGGAGGAGGGAGAAAGGGGCAGAGCCTTCATTAGTACCTGCAAGAAAGAGAGGACCAGGTTGCCTGGGAAGGAAACACTGGAGAGATGGGGTCAGCAGTCAACATTGGATTGGTGACTGAGAAGGGAAAGGAGGCAAAAAGGCTGTTTTGTGAATTCTGACATTCAATAAACCTCACCCAAAGCAACCAGACAAAAATTCACTACCTTTTTCTTATCCATAGTTATGACAGTGTGATGGTTAGGGAGAAAAGAAGTAAGTCACCTAACTCAGGGGCTCACAACCTTAACAGTTCCTCTGTCTCCTCCCTCTCTGGGTTCCAGGAGAGAAGTTGAGCTCATCTCTGCAGACAGTCTCCTCACTGGCCACACTGTATTCCGGACACGCCCTGCACCATCTGTGATGTCAGCTGATAGGGGTCTGGAGAAACTGCCCTGCTCTGTGAGCTTGTATTAAAACACTAATATGTAACACCTTGTTAATTTTTCACAAGGAGCTTTTTTTTAAATATTTTATTTATTTGACAGAGAGAAATCACAACTAGGCAGAGAGGCAGGAAGAAGCAGGCTCCCTGAGGAGCAGAGAGCCCAATGCAGGGCTCGATCCCAGGACCCTGATATCATGACCTGAGCCGAACGTAGAGGCCCTAACCCACTGAGCCACCCAGGCGCCCCAACACAAGAAGTTATTTTTAACTCACTCAAACTGTTATCTGAATGTTTTCTTAAAGAAAGAATCCCGCAGGGGCGCCTGGGTGGCTCAGTGGGTTAAGCCTCTGCCTTCAGCTCAGGTCATGATCTCAGGGTCTTGGGATCGAGCCCCGCATCGGGCTCTCTGCTCAGCAGTGAGCCTGCTTCCTCCTCTCTCTGCCTGCCTCTCTGCCTACTTGTGATCTCTCTCTCTCTCTCTCTCTGTCAAATAAATAAATAAAATCTTTTTTAAAAAAAAAGAAAGAAAGAATCCTGCATGTGGTTCCCTCTTCCTCCTCCTCCCCTGCTGCTCTTCAAATGACCCCTTACCTGATGACCCCTTCAATGACCCCTTACTCTAGGGGAACAAGGTTTTGGATGAACAATTCACAGCAATGTTCAGGAAATGGGTAATACAAAAAAGAGAAAACAAACTCATGCAGGCCCTACTCTCCTCCCTACTCAGGCTTTGGTTTTGAGAGAATTTTAGGAAATGTTGTCAGAGGTTTTTAAAGACAGAAATATCAAGTCAAAATTAGAAAGGCTACTCTATAGATGATCAAAAGGAACCCTTGGGTAATGGGCCAGACCTTCTGTCTACAAATCCATCTAGACTTCTTATCTGCCACTCACCAGTTCCAATGTTATAATTTACAAACAAGCACGAGATAGATAAGAAGGGTCAATTCTTAACTTATGGACTCGTTCTATACTATTTGAGGTGTTCCCAACCTACAACCAGTCTTCAAACCCTTCCATGGTTCCATACTGCCTTCCCTTCACAATCCTTCCTTCCTTCATATTCTGACTTGTGTTTACTCCTCCAGCTTCATTTCCTGCCCAGTTCCTGCTTCAGCTGTGAAATTTGGCACTCACCCTGTTTCCTGGCCTCTAATACATTCTTGGTCCCTTTGCTTAGCTACCCCCACTTCTCTTTCAGTTCCCAACTCATCGTTTGCTTCCCCAGGAAGAGGAACCTTATGTTTTCCTTCCTGTGTGCTCTCATAGCACTGGGCTTCCTCCATGTGCCATTGATCTTAATGTATCCAAATTCCAGGCCAGCTGCCTGTCTCCTCCAACAGACTGTGAGGTAGGTTCTCAATAAGTAGTTGTTGAACAAATGACCATGCTGAGAAAAAAAAAAAAACCTGAAAGAGGCCATAATTCAGAATTCCTATGTAGTAGATATTGAGAAACATACTTTGCAGCCAAGCAACCTTTATAAACTTGGCTTAGGTAAAGATATATATTATATTACTTTCATTGTGGAAGGTGAGCAAAACGGATAGTGTGAAAGGGAAAACAAGTTTAGGGTAGTAGAACCTTTTCTGCACATCATTCATGGTAGGTATAACTACACGTAAGTGATAAAGATTTATTTGCCTTTGAGGACACTTGTTTTAAAATATCAGACAGCCAACTAACTACCTATGCCCAGTTAGAGAATCCCTACTTTTTTGGAAAGCATCATGCTCAGACTCTATATTCTAGATAGGATGCCCTAGTCAGAGGTTCTCACTTTGGGGGACAGAGGAGGGCATAATGAAGACACCTGGGGACATTTTCAAACTTCAGATCCTCTCCCTCTGGAGATACTTGTCCATTAGCCCTGTACTTCCCAAGACTGCTCTAAACCACCCCAACTGACAAGAAATTGCCCTCAAGTTCAAGGGGAAGAGATTCTAAGAGCTTCCTTCACAGGAAGGTAGCACAGTTGAGTAGTGAGGAGTAGGGTTCTGCAGGTATAATGTTCAGGTTCATATCACACCTCAACCTCACACCCAATGACTCTGGTTAAATTAGTTTACCTCTTGGGGCTTTAGTTGCCACAATAGTCAAATGGGAGTGAAGGCAAATCCTTCACAGGGCAGCTGTGAGGAGTAAGTGCAATGATGTCTGTAAGTACGTAGCTCAGTGCCTAGCAAACAATATGGAATTAATATCATCTACCTAGTACTTAATATAGAAATCTGGTCCCAAATAACCAAACATTGAAAATCAACCACTCTTTATAAATGTGCAGCTGAAAATCATCCACTAAAACTTCAGCTTATTAGCTAGACCTTGTGAGTCAATTAAAACAATTTTATTCCATATGACTCACCTTGAAATGCTAACGACTCTAATTAGACACCCTCATCCATCCTGGTGCTAACACACTGGGGGTCCTATGCTTACTGCATTTCAAGAGACAATGAAAAATGCAAGGGTCAATATCATCATTATCATCATCATCATCACCACCATCTTTGTCTACAGATGCCTCATCTGGAACAAGCAGTGCTGAGTACTATAGAGATAAGAAAAATGAACACTTGGTCAGAAATGCTGGATGTGAACACTGGCCCTTCCTCATGACTACATGAACTTGGGTAATTTGCTTAATCTCTCTAAGCCTCAGTCTTCTCATCCACAAGGAACCTTACTTGACCTCCCACACTGGATCAACATGAGAATTCAATAAGAAGACACAAACTAATACACACAGCTGGTGAGAGTGTCACTGGGGCACCATCCTGAAGCACAATCTTTGTGGAATTAAAAATGCATACACAATAGGGCACTGTAGTGGTTGAATGGGTGAAGGTACCTAAAACAGGTATAGAATATGGACTGGAAGAGCATTTGCTAAATACATTAAAGCAAATGCCTGTAGTGAGGAGGGGAATTGAGATAAAGATGAAAAAGGAAAATAAAATGAATTGAAAAGGGGCCTGACAGGAAGTGATGGTGCAAACATGCCTACTGAGGGAGGGACTGACTCTACTCTGCATTGCAGGTTCAACAAAGTAATTGCAGGAGATAATGCTGTGAGAGTACCCGGTACAGAGCCTGATGAATGACAGGCATTCAGTAGATTTAAACTGAAGGGGAAAGAGAATCCTGTAATGGTCAGGATAAGGAGAATACAAAGAAGGAACGCCTGTGAGAAATAGGGTGAAGAACTGTGATGATGGGGCATCTGTCCTACTAGTTCCCTCTGAGCCCATTTTCCTTTTCCTAATTCCTCTCTCTCCTTCAGCCCCTTCGACTATCTTTGGAGGCTCCTGTAGTTAGCACTAAAGATGCTTCTGCCAGGTTTCTCCCTGGGAACACAACCCCAGCCACCTACCACTCAACAAAGAGTACAACAATGGTTCTTAACATTTGTTAAATCACAGACACCTCTGATGATAGTTACCTCCAAAAATGTCATACATTTTTTTAAAAATTGTTATTTTTTAAATTTCTTTTCAGTGTTCCAGAATTCATTGTTTATGCACCACACCCAGTGCTCCATGAAATACATGGCCTCCATAATACCCACCACCAGGCTCACCCAACCTCCCACCCAGCTCCCCTCCAAAACCCTCAGTTTGTTTCTCAGAGTCCACAGTCTTTCATGGTTCTTC